GGGAAGTTTTCTGGGAAGCCTGAAAACCTGCCTTTGGGTGAACCAGAGAAATCACTAAATCGCACGTGAGGTTGAGTTCGGACAAGAAGAGCCGCACGTCTCTGCAGAGTGCTTAACGTGGTGCCGTTTCCCCCTGGTGGCCTCACTACATCTTTGGAAGGAATGGACATAAGGGACGAGGGGCATCAGTTTTCTGTTCTCGTGGAGATGTCCTCACGGGAACGGGGCCCTGGTGCCACGGTAGGGCCGGCAGATCAGCAGCTGTGTATGGGCTCTGTGGCCCCCGGGGTCGGCTCTCCCCTGCCCCCCGCGCCCTCTGCACCTGTAGACAGGTGTGCCGGGCCAGACATCCGTTGATGGTTTCCACTACGAGGTCAGGTTGGGGGACACTTTGGAAAAGTAACAGTAATTTGATGTTACATCATGATATCCGGCAGCCCCAGAAAGCTGAGCGGCATCCGCATAATAAATGCGGATTATCGTGTTGGCTGCCGGGAAGACTGGGCACTGGGTGCTAGGAACACAGAATTGGGTCGCGTAGACCTGCAGGAAAGTAATTGGAAATTGGAATATAAAATAGGCATCAACACATCTACATGAAAAGCGAAGTAGGTTGTGGTGTTGGTGGTGCCCTCTAAGATTTTGGGAGGAAAAGATCTGATGCCTGGGACCAGGCGGTGTGTTCGAGTTTAAGTAGCAAGAGTGGTGGCCTCTGCTGAATGCGGGCCAGTGCGGAGCAACACGGTTTCCTCCTGAGGCTTTGCCCCTTTGTTTCTAAAGTAAATGGTAGAGGGGTGCCCGGCCGGCTCAGTCGCTACAGCTTAGGACTCTTGATCTCAGGGTTGTGAGGTCAAGCCCCACATTGGGTGTAGAGATTACTTTAAAAAAATAAGATAAAATCTTAAAAAAAAAAAAAAATCCGTAGAAAATGAGCTTTATTTCCGTGCCAGACCACGTCTCCCCAGTACACAGTGGCCCCATGCTAGTCGAGTCTGCTGATGATCAGTGGTAGGAGCTTATTTATCTATCACTTTTACTGACCCCATTCTTAATGCTTAAGCACCTGGCTGAATTTTATCTAATTGTTAAATCTTCAGGTTGATGGCAAATGCATAGGAGTATTTAATCTCTTTTCCTGAGGTATGTATAGATAGTACCAGGAAAAATAACATAAGCCAGTCACAGGAAGCTAATATCTGTAGTTGTAAAGTATTGAAAAGACATACTAATTATATATCCGGGGGGGGGGGGATGTGTAAAGTGATTTTAGAATTGAGAGGGGTCTTTCCGGGTGGAAGAAAGGATCACCCCTCCTTTTAGAAGGTCTAGAATCCTTTGCTGAGGTTACAAAGACAGAGATTATGGAGGAACAAACAGAGGGGTCGGTGCAAACCCTTCTTGACTTGAATACGATGATTGAACCATCTGGAAGCATCATTTGTGAACAAGGCTCCACAAACACACATGAAGAGAAGAGAACGAAAGAGTTGGTGTGAAATTCACCCCGCAGGTGTCGCGGAGCAGGGCATCCGAGGGGGAGGTCCTCAGTCAGCCCCACGCCGTTCCGGGAGGACTGGGTGCTGACGCCCAGCGGGTTCTTGCTCCCTGGAGAGGTTGGGGGGGGGGGGCAGCTGTGCGGCGGAGGGATGCTGGGACTTGGGGAGCGGGTGTGGTCCCAGGGACAGGCTCCGCTGCTCCCTTCCTGCCCGGAGACGACCCGGACTAGTGAGGAATCGGATGTGTGTGGCCAGGATGCCCAGGGCAGGCCTCTGTGCACTTGGGTGCTGGGGGCTCGGGGCCTGCTGGCGGGGAGGCAGGGTCCCAGGGCGAGCGTGGGCTCGGGGCCAGCTCTGCGGCGTTGTGCGGTTCCCTCAGGTTGTGGGGTGCTGTGGGGTGGGCCTGAGGCTGAGAGCAGGTGTGAGGCAGGCATGAAACTCGTGCGGAAACCTAGCTGAGAAGCCTAGGTGATTTCAATGAATATGGACAGTTGGGATGGAGAGAACAAAGGGGGTTTTGAAATGCTCTAGGGATAAGCTGGGTGGAGAGAGAGAGTGTGCGAACTCATTCTGGGGGATGGCGGACCACCAGGGCAGAAACTTGGCATCAGAGCATATTTTAGCTTGCCAGGGCGGCTGTAACAATGGGCCACGAACTGGGGCGCTCGGCACAACGTAGATTTGTTCTCCCGCCACACTGGAGGCCAGAAGTCCGAGCTCACGAGACAGACCTGTTCCAGGCCAGTCTCCTGGCTTCTCGTGGTTTGGGGGCATCTTTGGTGTTTCTTGGCTTACAAAGCCCCTGCCTTAATCTTCACCAAAATTTCCCCTTTCCTAAAGGCACCAGTCATGGTTAAGGGGCCCATCCTGTGCTACTATGAGCTCATCTTAACGCCTCACATGTGCAGTGGATTTATTTGCAACTAAGATCACATTCTGAGGCACTGGGCGTTAGGACTTCAGCGTGTGAATTTGGGGGTGCACAGCTCCACCCATAATAGCAGTAATGCACTGCATGAAATTGATGTGGCTCTTTTAGGACGTGATAATTAGCCACTTGCAGATTGCGGGATGCTTGATGATCACCGGGGTTTTTAAAATACCTGCTGGGACACCAAGGGTGCCATGCTGCTCGGCTCCCGTGCCCACCAGGAAACCACTGGTCTCCGTTTCCCTGAGCACAGGCAGAACTCTGTGGCCGAAAGGACATGCAAGGTGCCGCCCAGACCAGTCCCTCCCAGCAGAGGGCCCCGCTGATGTGACATCACATGACCTGCCTTGAAACCACTCAGCTGCGAGCACAAGTATTTTCCTGTGATGTGAGGGCTTTAAAAACGTGCGTCAGATCTTCTCTCGGTAGACTTGGTCTGAAGTGCACTGTTAGCTCGGCAGGTTCGCGGTGACTGTCACCCTCATTCAGGAGCCTGGATCGAGGCACCAGGAACCAGAGGAGAGATTTTTGAATTTGTAAACAAATACCTGTTGGTTTTCCCGTGTCGCTCTCAGTATGACTTGTCAGACCTCTGGCAATAAGAGGGGAAGAAAAAGGCTTTTCCCCCAGTACAGATTTCGCATCTAACATTGTGTTTTCACGAAAGGCTGAATTCAGTTCATCTCGCCAAGAAATAGCGGGTTCTTTTAAGTTGTAGAAAATACAGAAGTGATATTGATCACTATTGCAACTTGGGCTAACTTTTCTATTACAAGTAGGTTTATTAAACGTTAAGTGTGTCTTTTATAAAAGCACGTGATGACCCTTGGCAGAAACTTTGAATATCGCTAGTAATAATTGCCAATGGCACTGCCCTTCAGGTGGGCGCCTGCCCGCAGGATGAGGTGGTCCCATTTTACAGCTGGGGACACTGAGGTAGAGAGAGAGGTGAATAAGGGAGGCCGGGTCCCCCAGCATTGCAGTCTTGTGGCCGTGTCGCACCGGGGGGGTCGGGGGCTTCTGTGCCACACGTTTCCTGGCTCACTTTATAGTCACGACAGCTCGGCTGGGAAAAGGGTGCCATACTCGTTTACTTACAAGGAGTCTGTGATTTGGGGACCGGAAGTCATCGGCTAGTCTTCCGACAGGCGCAGACACGCCTGTTCCCTTCTCTGTCCTCTGTCCTCTGTCCTCTTTCTTCAGTGTCGTGCCCACGCAGGGGATCAGAATGGGAGTTTATGTGTTTGATCTGAATGTTGGAAAGTTTTCTTCGGTTTTTCTTATGGGAGCAGACTGAACACCATATAAAGCAGGTGTGTTTTACGTGTTACATCGGTGCCCGGAAGGGAGTGGGTGTGTGTGTCTGTGTGCATGTGCGTCTGTGTGTGCGCACATCTGTCTGTGCACACACGTGTGCTCGCTTTGGAAGATGAGCCCACCCGGAGTCGATGCGACCCCTGGAGGCGGAGGGCGGACACACAGCCTCTGGGCTGGGGAAGCTCTGCCCCCCTGGTTCTCCAGGGGGTGGTCATTTGGGGGTGTAGGTGGCGTTTCTGGAAGGTGTCTGTGCCAAGGCCTGAAAATGAGAGCAGGCAGTGATGATGTGTTCCTCTCTCAAAAACAAGAAATCAGAATCCCGCTGATGATTAGCTAGAGTGGATTCAGAGCCCGGAATCTCGGAAGGTAGTTTGTCCTTGGAGACGGCAGAGGGACCCCGAGGTGCGCGCACTTCCCTCATCCACCAGAGGCCTGGCGGATCTCTTGTCCACCCGGGGTGCTGCGAGGAGCTGCACGGGACCCTGACATGTCTCGCCCCACCTGGGTGTGTGCGGGGCCGAGATGTGGAGGGCCAGCCCCCGCCCCACCTCTGTATACGCACGGCGCCCCGGCAGGGTCCCTGGTGGTTTCCCGCTAACAGCGCGCTCTCTAACCCCACCCCCCTCCGCCAGCCAGCTGCCCCGCTCTGTCTCGACCCGTGGGGAGATGCCATCCAGTAGTTGTGTCTAACACGTGTGTAGTATTGAGCATCCTTCCCTTACTTGTGCCCCGTGAATACAGAAACACCATTCCCATGTTCTGTGTTTTCCTTTCAAAAACTGGGTTTCTCTTGAGGAGAATACAGGTTCTCAGCCCTTGAATTTATCAAAATCTTGTACACTAGGCACCTGTTCAGCATGAAAAATTCTTTCCCATTTTGCAAAACCCAACAAGAGAATGATCATTTCAATGCTCTCTGTTTCTGAACTCTGTGCATCGTGTTCCCAGTGAGAGAGAATTCCCGAATTTACAAACAAAGCCTACGTTAAAATTCTTCTCTTCTCGGCCACGGGTGATCCTGGCATTGCACGGGAGGCTGTGCACTCTAATCAGAAGTGAACACGGGTCCTTAAAGACAAACACTTAAATCTGAGTTCAGTAGTTGTTTTAAAATCCAGTGGTTGCTGGTCCTAAATACTGAGAGATGCCTCCAGGGCGACAGCCAAGGGTGTATTTTTCCACAAGCGAAGCCCACGTCTATTTGCCCTCCTCACTCCCGGTCTTTCTTGTATAACGAGATTTTTTGTGTGTGGCAGGTGGCAGATTCAAGAAAGAAATCGTTGTTGACGGACAGAGCTATCTGCTGCTGATTAGAGATGAAGGGGGCCCCCCAGAGGCACAGGTAAGTATTACAAGCAAGCGGTAAGCAGCCTTTTCTTTGACGTTTGCTTCAGCTTTGAGGTTCCCATTCAACAGAAATGGCTCTGGAAATCAGGTGTGCTCAAGAAAGGTGATGCAGAAGCCCCACGAACCTGTTTTCTCTGAGAAACGAATTCTGTGGTTCCTTCAGACAAAATCCTAGAGCGAAGTTGGGTCTGCGTGGCTGGTTTTCACTTTGTGGTTTTTTTTTTTTTCCAACGTTTTTTATTTATTTTGGGACAGAGAGAGACAGAGCATGAACGGGGGAGGGGCAGAGAGAGAGGGAGACACAGAATCGGAAACAGGCTCCAGGCTCCGAGCCATCAGCCCAGAGCCTGACGCGGGGCTCGAACTCACGGACCGCGAGATCGTGACCTGGCTGAAGTCGGACGCTTAACCGACTGTGCCACCCAGGCGCCCCTCACTTGGTGTTTTTAAGAAGGAAGGAAAGACACAATTTGCGCTCATTTGTCAACTCCGTTGATTTGACTTCTGGAAAGACCCATAGTCCTCTCCCGTTCCCTGTAAGCGGTTTGCTCCCTAGAGCAGCAGGAGCATTGAGTAAGTGGCTGGTCCGAAATCGGGAAATCCGATGTTGGGGGTGGGGGATTCTGCTCACTGGGCTTCTTGGCACAAGTGCGCCGCCTCTGAACACCGGCGTGCAGCCCAGTGTGGTGTCTCCGGAAGTTCCCTGAAGGCTGGGCATCCTGGAAATCCAAAAGCACAGGTGGCGGTTTACCTGCTCTCCAGTGCCTTATTTTACTTGCATAATAATTTACTGGCCAAGCGCATACTGGGAGCTGAATCCAGGAACGGTGGGCGAATGCCTGCCCCGTGTGGGTCGGCTCATGTAATCCTCGAGACGACCCTGCGGGACGATGTGCTGAGGAGTCCCGTCTCCACCGCGGACGCCGAGGCCGGGACTTCTTGCCCAAGGATGGACGTGGTGAAGGGGCACAGACTCCGGGGCTCTGCCTGTGAATGGCACCAACCTGGGGGTAGAACCATGACTCCCCCCGCCACTGGAGTCTCAGTCTTGGCGTCTTGCCGTGAGAACACGTTTACTCGGTTAACTGACGGCCAGTCCTTTATTCCGGATGTACTGTGTTCAGGGCCGTCATTTAGCCCAGCGGCTTCCCCTCATTAAAGATTTCTACCATGGGGGGCTGTCAGTATGGAGCCTTTTACAGCTGACCGACAGGATTTTGTACACAATTAGGCAGAGCGTGCTTGAATATTCAAGGGGGAGAGAGTCCTGTTTTTAAGTTACCGTTCCCAGGCACGTGGAGGCATGATCTTTGTTTTCATTGTTTCCAAATATTTCCTGGAGCTGACCCGAGCATAATGGCTTCACGAATGAAGTCGTAGGACTTTTTTGTGGCTACCAGTGTCATCCTAGGGTTGTGTAAAAACTCTGCCAATCAACTGGCTTTTGTGTGTGGCAGTTGCCGGGGGAGCCACGGGGGTGGGTTGGGGGGATTTACGGAGTGCTCATCACCTACTAGGCGCTGGGCAGTGAGCGCCCCCTTGGGAGAATGAGGTGTGGCGTGCACTTGCCAGCCTCAGTCTGGTCCCCGGGTCCACGATTGCTCTTCAGATGCGTGGGGACACCTCACTTCACTGCTCAGAAGAGAAAGGAAAAACATACCTCCAGATAGAGAGAGGGCAAGGTAGGTGCCCCGTGTCATCCTGGGTCCTGGGTGCTCTGCTGGGGCGGCGGGCCTGTCCCGGGATCCGTTCTTCCCAAGATTTTGATCTCATCTCAGTTTTTCATTTGGACTTCACGTATATTTACGTTTTTATCACGTAGAATTTCCACATATAAGTGAATACGCTTTTTAGTTAACACATGAAGTCAGAGCTTAACCCTGCTCCCCCCCCGCCCCCCCAAATTCCCCCACGTATATCCAAGCTGGTACCTTGGCTGTAGAAACTTACTTAAGAGCTGTGGCTTCTCAGAGAAAGGAAACAGGATTAACGTTACTATTACTGATTTTTCTATTTTCCCTTGGAAAGTGGAGGGTCTCTGGTGCCGGCCTGACCGGCTCGTGATTCTGCTGTTGCAGTCACGTGCGACCCTGGGAGGCCACTGAGGTTTCCAGGACCTTCCGTTCCGTCTGCTCCGGCCTTACAAGGCGGTCATGCGCACCGAACAGGCTCGTCCGTGCCTGGCAGCGCAGTTGTTTGCCCCGAGGCACATTTGCTGTAGCTTCCCCTGGATGCGTGGAAAACAAGAACAAAGTGGCCCAGAGTCAGGTGGTTGTGGAGTTGGAGAGGCTCTGCTACGAGGCTGGGTTTGCCTCACATTTGTGGGACCGCCATTGGCTGGATCAGGACGGAGGGTAGAGGGTCCCACGGGGAGGCGTGTCTGGTTTGCATTCCTTGGAGACGGGGTGGCCTGGGTGGGAAGGGGGTGAGGGTCCCGTTCCAGGCTGTTACGAGAAGGACGGCAGTGACGCCGCAGCAACGCGTTACAGCCAAAGTCCGGCCTCAGACTCGGCCTGACGGAGGGGTCTGCCGGCCACGTGTCCTCTGCTCACGAAGATGCTGTTCCCACCCTTTTGCTCCCCGAGCCTCGTCACTCAGTTCCTTCTTCCCTCCTCCCTTTCTTCTCTCCCCAGTTTGCCATGTGGGTGGACGCTGTTATATTTGTCTTCAGCTTAGAGGATGAGATCAGCTTCCAGACTGTTTACCACTACTACAGTCGGATGGCCACCTACCGGAACACGAGCGAGATCCCTCTGGTTCTCGTGGGGACCCAGGGTGAGTGCCATCTGCACGCAGGTTGAGTTTAAAGGATTCCCACACTTGAGCAGTGAGTGGAGTTGTGGCCTCTGTTTTTGGTGTGGAGGAATCTGAAAATGCTTCAAAGAAGAAACAGTTTCCTCCTGAAGGCTTTTTCCAGTGAGAATCCACGAAACTGAAATTGTCATGTTTCCTGAATTGATTCTGTGGAGAAATCACTTGGTCAGCAGCCTCAAAATAAACCCCCCCCCCAGTACTCTAGGGAAAATAAAATCTGTTTTCTGTCGTTTTCTGTAGGAGAGGTATCTTAATTCTTTTGGTTACATAAACCAATTAATAAGCAATTAAAAGGTTTATTTTACCTTTGAGTGCATCTTTAAAATTCTACCAATTTCTTATATACAGCAGAGTTTTGTTTTATTTTGCTCCACCTGTTATGTGTTATGGTCTGTAGCTAATTTTTTTTTTCACCTAACAGGCCCCTCAGAATCTAGAATTAACCCTGTATGAGTACGTTTCTTCTTTTCTTCTAGGTCACTTAAAACTTGGCCTCTTAGCAGAGCCACAGCCCTTAAGTGTCCTTGTTCTCAATCAGATTCACTGACGTACCGGTGTCTGCATCTGGGTCTTCAGTAAGAGGCCACATAGAATGTCTTTAAGAACCAGATGGCAGGTTGACTTTAAAAACTGCTTTGTCAGCAACGGGGGCAACTTAAAACATAATCGTGTCAAGAAAACTTGGATTATACCTTCGTTTTTGTTGTTGTTATTCATACACTGTTTTTGTTAGAACGTCCACATCTGGTCTCCCTTTCTCCAAGCCCGGATGTGACACTTTTGTAAACAGGCACTTGGCTGTGTTGAAGAAGCTGTTTGTGTGCTACCGGCTCTAGTGTGAGGAGAGTGAGCTCAGGCAGATGAGCCCTGGGTGTGGGGCGGGTGTGTGTGTTGCAAGAATGGAAGTAGCAAGGAACCAACTGAAAGCATCATCTGTGTGCTAGATATGAAATGTTAGAGTCAGGGTTTCATGGGGAGCCCCCCCCCCCCCCCCCCCCC